TATAACACTCTAATCTTTGACATCTAACACCCCCCTCTCTTCCCATATTCTTCTCCTACTTTTCGAATGGCTATCTGTTTTCCTTGATCATTTTTCCTATTCCTTACCCAGTGACAGATAACACTGTAAGTCACTCAATTCCCTACTCCTTTAACCCTCCCTATTCTACTAATCTCGGCTTTAGTTCACTTACTCCCCTCTTTCTCTTTTCACTGCAATACGATCCTATAATGCTCTCTAATCTTTGACATCTAACACATTTTATCCTAATCTTTAATTCCTCTTTATCCTTTCCAACACAACACTTTACCATAGTGCTATATGACCTTTGATGTCTAGCACATTTATTTGTTTCAAACTTTAAACATTGAATATGACAATATATACTTCTAGGTCCATTCGCTTTGCCAATTGTGGGAAGTATTTTCTCTATCTTACCATCACCAAAGGAATCCTTCAGTAGATTTCAGAAGAAATATGGACCTATATGTAGCTACAAAGTCTTTGATAACTGGTAAGTACATTCCAAATACCTAAATGAGAGTCTAAGGTATAATATAGATTTATTGGTTTTCAATGACAGTGCAGATTATTTTTTATGTCTTCTCTCATAAGGTTGCTTTGCAATCAGACTCATGATAATGGAAATTATTAAGAACAATTGATTTCTTCAGAAAATGAGGAATCAAACTTAGTGTCAGATTGAAACCCTGAATGATAACTTTATCTCCAAGCAGATATTAATTTTTGTTTAAACTTTTCTTATTAGTTGTCACTAATGCAAATTACCGAGGCTTGAGTAAAATCTCATGGAAAATAAAATATAAAAGTTGATAGAATTTAGATTGATATATATGAAACATCAAAAGAATGTTGTTTTTAAGTTGTCATATTAAGTTGTTAGCCATGTTCATGTATTTTAACCCATTTTGCAGAATCTGGTTTAACCATTAAACATAGAAAGAAGTGAATAATAACAGTATTTCAGTGATTCTATTCATTAATTTCTTAGGTCCATCATCGTGAATGATCCAGCACTGATGAAGCCACTTCTTGCCGACCCAGTATTTTCTGGACGCAAACACCTCTACCTGTTTTCACTACGAGATGAAGTTATCAGTGGGGAAAAGATGCCTTTGGGTTAGTTTAGATATTTTCTTCTCCTGTTTCTTCTTTTATTCCCATATTTCCTTTTTTTTTGTGTTCTTTTCTTTGTCATTTAGTTTTTCGTTTCTCTTCTGTCCCTATTTGCTCTGCCTTTTTCTTTACTTTTCTTGTATATCCCCTCATTTATTCTTTCTGTTTGTGCATCTCTTTTTTTCGCACTGTGTTTCTGCAGTGAAATAAAATGTTATCAATTTGAGAAAAAGAATAGCTTACTGATGAAGGTTAAGTGTTACTCACAATATATTTTCTATATTTTGACCATTTTCTTAAATGTAAACATTTTCAGGCATATTAGGAACCAGCGGAGATGTGTGGAAAAACCAGCGACGTTTTACACTAAGGAGTCTCAAGGATCTAGGATTTGGCAGAAATAGTATTGAGCCCATTATGCAGAAGGAATTGGAGGACTTGATCAACACCTTTTCCCAAACTGAAGGTCAAAAAGTCGATGTTGGGGTAAGAGAAGTAATTTTTTTCTTAAAAGATTTGCAAATTGTAATAACAGGAATTATTAGAGCCCTGATAATCAGATGTAATGTGTTATCTTCCAGTTGACATTCAACAGCAGTATCATCAACGTGATCTGGGCCATGGTTATTGGGAAGCGCTTTTCTCACGAAGATGTCCGTCTGCTAGAACTTGTCGATAAAGTCAACAAGATGCTGCAGTCCTTTAACCCTTTCCACCCAGCTTATAGGTGTTTTTCTTTGAGTTCTATACTACTGTATATTAAACTCTCTCTCTCTCTCTCTCTCTAACTCTCTCTCTCTCTCTCTCTCTCTCTCTCTCTCTCTCTCTCTCTCTCTCTCTCTCTCTCTCTCTCTCTCTCTCTCTCTCTCTCTCTCTCTCTCTCTCTCTCTCTCTCTCTCTCTCTCTCTCTCTCTCTCTCTCTCTCTCTCTCTCTCTCTCTCCTACTCCTTTTCTTCTCTTCTGTTTTCTTCTCCTCTCCTCTCCTCACCAACTCCTCCCTTCCTACTACTCCTCCTCTACTCTCTTCTCCTCTCTTCTCCTCTCCCCTCTCCCTCAAACTCTCTTTCTCTCTCTTTCTAGTCTCTTCTCATTCCTTCTTCCCTCATACTAACTCTATATTAGTAAAATAAGTTGACTAAATCCTTTGATATATACATTTGAAATAATTGAATTGTGAGAGGCAGGCTGAAGTAACACTGTTATGAATATTTACAGATTCCCAATTATTAAGAAGTTCTTCCCAAACTTGGATGTATACAAGAGTCAAGATACTTACATGAGACAACTTCTGAGTTTTATTGAGGTAAGGTTATGGATGTTCATGTGTAAATAGTATACAAAAAATACATATGTAGTGCATGTC